AAACAGTAACCAAGGTGTGGAGGGAGCAGTGCCCCAGCCCGGGGCACTGTCAGCCCGCTCCCTCCAGACAGCAGGGCCTGGCAGCCACGGAGGCAGTGAGCTGGCTGTCCTTGTTGCACGTGGGTCACAGGGCACTGAGGGAGCTGGGCTCCCCAGCAGCCCCAGTTCCTGCGTGGCAATAGACTCAGGAGCCTCTGGAGCCTGAAGCAGGTACTAGGTGCTGTTGGGGACAGTTAGCTTTAAACGCCAGCCAGGGGCCAGCAGCTTTGCAGAGCCCTGGAACTCCTGCTAAGAGCTGCATCGGGAAGTGCATGCCCTTGTTTCTCCCTTTACTCCAGCCTAGGTGTTTTGTCTGTCCACACCCCTAGGCTTTTAATTCTGGATGCTTCTGAGCAGGTTGCTCAAGCCCAGCAAACCCCCAGCTGAGCCTCGTTGGCTTCAGGCTTCCCCAGCCTCAAAGAGCCCATTATCCAACTCTGCCTGCATTAGGGACCATGGCTGGGCACTGTTACCCACAGATTCTCTCTCTCTCTCACACACTCATGTACACACAGCCACACACACACCCTCTGTAGACACTGCTGCTGGCCTACAGCCCAAATCAGTCTCCCCACAGCCATTAGCGGAGCAGCCAAGACAACCTGGCACAGGCCCATGGGTGAGCTGTCTTGCAGGGCCCAGCCCAGAGAAGGTGTGTGATGCCTGGATGTGAGACACAAGCGGGCACTGGTGCAAGCTGCTCTAGCTCCTTTGTTTAGGAGACCTCAGCATGGGTAGGTCCTTGCTGTGTGGGGAACCCCCCTCCCTGCAGTCAGAACCTGGCTGGATTCCCAGTGGCAATGACACTTGCTTTCTAGTGAGCAGCCTACAACACCCTGTGGGCCCTCTCCTATCCCCCCTCTGCTTCTAGGACCCACAGACACCCCCCACTTTCCCTGATGGCAGAGACTATGTGCAACCCACTCCCCTCTGCCAGGCCCTGTATGACCCCCAAAGCAGGGTCCCCTCTCCTCTCTCCCTCCCTCCTTGCACCCCATTCCAACCATGGCAGGGTCCCTGTGCTCACCCCCATGATTCCCCATCTCACCACCAGTCTGGTTCTTCTTTGGTGTCTCAGGATGAAGTTTCTTTTGATTAAAGCTCTTTCTTTTCTTCCTCTTCCAGGGCAGCCACGTTTCAAGCTCCCTTGGGGGCAGGGAAGAGTTGAGCTGGTGGTGGGGCTGGGATGCTGGAAGACATTTGTTTTTGTGACTGCCATGCAATTACGGGGGGCACAAAGTCATGAGCCGTGGCTCTGCTAACCCAGTACCAAGGGCCCCGCGTATCCCTGCCCTTTCCTTTCCAGGCTACACCAAAAAGTCGTGCATTCTGCCCACTGCTGCCTGCGACGTTCCCCAAGAGTCTGGAGTTGATCAGAGGCCACGTGGCAGCTGTTTTAGTTTCTCAGGCCCCGCCGGGGGTGCATTTGGGTCCAACCTACAGCATCTCGGTCTAAGCACTGCCAGTCTAAGACTCTTTCAGAAGCCAGTGGGGCAGTTTTTCTAGTGGCCTTTTCCCACCTCATCACCCCTGGGCCTCGATCACTGCTGAGTCAGGCAGAACTAGACCATGTTTGGAGTTCAGGGCACAGCTCTGTGGCTGACTGTGATGCAAAAGAGGCAGCACCTGGGATTGGCAAAGGAGGTGAATGGGTTCAGATGCCCCCTGTCAACGGGACTGGGGGACCTGGGTCACTTCAGAACCAGCCTTCCCCATGTTCCCTCGGTCTGGCTGACCGGAGTCGGCTTAGTCAGGGAATTACCTGCCAGCAGCGAGAGCCGCAGGTTGCCCGAGGACGGAAGTGCCGTCCGCAGGTCGCTCTCCAGCGTGGCACAGCAGAGCCTGGTTGGCAGGGCAAGAAGTGGGGTGGCAGTGGAGACAAGGCAGCTCAGGGTCCGCCCTGGCAGGGAATCCAGCGGGAATCATCAACTTCTCAACTGATTTCAAACCCAAGTGGCTGCCTCTGTGCTGCTGCTTGACCCACAGTGCCTCACTCAGGCAGATCCAGGCAGTTGTGAATGCCCCTGCTTGCTGCGTGGGGGGCACTGTGGGAAGGGAAGCAGGTAGGACATTACTCCCCAGTCATTCCTTTGCATTACAGCCAGTAGCAGCTACTACAGCCCAGCCCCTTCTGCTGCTAGGGCAGCGACTAGATGAAGGTCTGAATGTGGGATGTGCTCTGGGTAGAATGCCCTTGGCAGAGCTCTGTGGTGAGCCCAGCAGTGATAGGGCCCACCACAGAGGACAGAAATGCTGGGACCGAGGAGGACAGAAGTGTAGGGGGCACAACAGAGCAGGCAGAAGGCTGCAGGAGCTGACTGCTGGGGCTGTGCCAGTGGTCTGTAGCTGATGCTCTTGTGTCTGTAAGGAGGGGGCAGACCACCCAGCAGTCAGGGTGGTGAGGAACAAGGGCCATGTGCCCTGAGGGGGGAGGTGGGGACGTTTCTTCTGATTAAAGCAAATGTCCTGGGGGGACTCAGCAGCTGTGCATCCTGCAGAGACTCATCCAGCTGGGACAGAGGACCATGGTCTTGATTCTGGTCCTAGCAATGCCACCGATTCCCTGCATGAGCCCAAGGTCACTCACAGGTGGCTGCAAGAACAGGCTGGCTCAGGAGGGGCATGTTTGCAGCGCCTTGAGATCTTTCCAGGAAGCATCCTACAAGTGCTTCCCTTGTGCAGGGCAGGGCTCTCCTCCCCTAGCCCAGCTGCAGAAGAGAATGGGAAGGTCCTAGAAGAGCTGCTGCACATTCAGCTCCTCAATCGCTCAACCGGAGTCACAGTGGTTCCCTGGCTGCTCCGGCTTCCGTAGCTAAGAACCAGGGTTCTTTGCAGTGCTCCTCCTGTGGCCTCGCATGTGGGACATCAGGGGGAAGAGCCAGTGCCTCCATGGGTGGAAAAGCTTCCATCAGGCATGGTGGATGGGAGCCCAGAGGCTAGGACCAGCAGCTGGAGTAAAAACAGGGCCCTGAGAAAGCTCTAAACACTCCTCCCCTCCCCCCATCCCAAGTGCCCCCATGCTAATTTTGCTCGAGGGGCAGAAGCAGCCCACCACGCACCCCCAGCCTGCACACAGGAGGGTTGTACTTTCGCCATCGTGTTCCTTGGCACCCTGGTATTTTAGCATCGGATGCATTAAGGCTTCTTCTGCTATTGCTACATAGGGATCTGGAAGCTCTGGATGCCAGAGGTATTAGCTGCAAGCTGCCTGCTAGTCAGTCCTGGATGCCCAGGGCAGGCTTCCCCAGCCTGTGCTGAAAGCAGCATCCTAGGCAGAGAGGGCAGGAACAGACATGTCCTGGGGCCACAGGGGCCTGTCCCAACTCGGCCTCTGCAGATCCCATGGTACTCCAACAGCCTGTTCAGAAAACCTGGCAGCAATGACCCTGCCTTAAGAGCCAAGTCAGGCAGACTCAAGGCTGTCCTGGAGATGTTCCCACCACCAAGACTGCTCCTTTGCAGTGGGAGACCATGGGGGCTGAGCTGTTTGAGATAGCAGCCAGGTGGAAAGGAGAAGCTTATCGCTCCTTCCAGGGACAATGACAAGGGACAGCTGCATTGTGGCCTTCCTCACTCCCCTCCGCACCATGGGTCCTAGCATGAGCCATTGGTGAACACAGAGCAGCTGCATCTACTAGATCCATCCGTGCACCATCCCCCAGACATCCTGCACTGCTGCAGGGGCTAAAAGCAACACTGTGGGTTATTTGCACTGTTGGCAAAAGCCCATCCTCAAAGCTCTGTCCCTTCTCATGGCCCCTGCAGCATTAAGTGCCCCTTGCTACTCTTCCGTGGCAGCACGATAACATGCTGCTGAAATCCAACCACGTTTGAGGGAGCACAGCAGGTCTATATCCATGACCTGGTCACACCAAGCTAATATTTCTCTGGAAAGCCAAGCAGGCGCAGTTGTGAATGCAGGGGGGGACTTATCAGAGAACAGCACGCTGCACATGGAATGTATATTCATATATAGTAAAAAGTCTTTATTAAGAAGGCTTTGAAGTCAAAAAATAAAACTCTTGATACAATTTCATAACCGTCAAGTCAGCTCAGCAAATATATAATCAGTACTTTAGCCATGTAAGGTCAAAGGTCCGTTATTTTCTTTTAAAATAAAATATATTTTAGTTTTTAAAATTTATTCAATAAAGTCCATATTTCCCTATAAATTCCCTACATATACAGAAGAGGTAAAAAAAAAAAAAATAAAAAATAAAAAACAACCAAAAACAACCCAAACAAACGAACAAAAAAAAACCAACCACAAAATAAAAAGGAGATAGAAATCACTGTGTTGTGTGACATGATGTGGGTAACCTGGGTCCCCATCCCTCGGCTGCCTTCTCCAACCCCCTCTTCCCCCTTCCTCCCCAGGCCACAACACTGGCCTTCTCAATGCATTTTGGGCAGTTTTTCACATTGGCAAAATAGAAGCTAGAACTGTTACAAAAAAGAATGTTATATATAT